TTGCTCATTTATGGAAAGTGTTATCACAGGTACCAGGAGTTCGAGTTTCAGATAGTGATCAGTTTGAGGTGGGAGCATTCTGTAAATACTTGGTTTATCTTTAAGCTGTGAGTTTCCTTTTATCTTCTCTTCGGTTCCGCAAAGAGAAACTACTTGTGTGTTCTGTCCCGCTGTGTGAAACTCTACATTGAATTAATATGTTATCAAATTTTCTTGTGTTTTCTTTTCAACTTCTGCCTGCCAGAGTCCACTGAGTGGTCCTTTTCTTCCTGCTGCCCCAGTAAAAACAACCATGCCGACTGGTGCACAGCCACAAGTCCAAGCCCATCCCCAAGGTCAAAAGAGACGCTTCACTGAGGAGCTACCAGATGAGAGAGAGTCAGGACTGCTGGGATATCAGGTGGAATAAAATCGGCAATTTTACATCATTGACCAAAATGGAACTTGGCTGGAGAGAGATTGCTAGCGCAGTTGATTTGGCAACAGTCATGCAAGACCTTTGGCAGATGGCAGCAGCAGTTACAAAACAGCGAGACCACGCTTTGGTTTCTTTGAGTGGATGCACTGTTCTTAAACTGGCTTACTTGATTCATTGGCCGCTTGCTTTCCATGCCCTCAATCTTTCGTGAAGAATAGCGGTGCGTTCAGGTCAAAGAGGTGACCATAGCGTGTTACTGGTTAGTTTAAAGGGAGATTATTTGGGGTTTTGTTTGGGATTTTTGTGGCTCTTTTGGATGGGCTTGTTTGAGGGGTGGGAAGGAAATGTGGTAATAACTTCCAGATTCTCCCATTTACCTTTCTTGCAGGTTGCACTTGAGAGGATTTCAAGAAGCCTAGTTTTAAGAGATTGATCTTATTTTTTTTAGATAGCAAATGTTAAACAGTTGATTTTAAGATAATTTGGAGTTCTTCAGACTTGTGAGAAAAGGGAGTTTCTGCAAATGCTTCTGTGGTGATACACCCCTGCTCACAGGCAGAAGCCCTTAATAAAAGCTTTGCCTAGAGATGACAAGGAACTGCCTATATGTTAGACCCAATATTAGGACTATCTCAAGCAGAGTTTACTGTGGCACGAGGTCTATACAGTATTTGGAATTAGCTGACTGAGGAGGTAGTAAGTTGATCCATGAACTAAACAGCTATCCTTACTGTCCTGACCTACTGAAAAGGCGGAGTAGGTGGTGAGGTGTCTTCCATATTGCTGCTCAGGCGTGTTTCTTACTACATGACCCTCAGTATTGTTAGGAGAAAGCATTTTGTTTAACAATGGTGATTAGAGGTTTCCTCTGTTAGTTGGCAGTGTGCTCTGAAAAGTTGGGTTTCCTATCATTATTAAGGAGCTATAGCTTATGTTGTAGTTGTAGATTTGCTAATGCCGTGTGTTTTTCTGCTCATAGCATGGACCCATTCATATGACTAATTTAGGTACAGGCTTCTCCAGTCAGAGTGAAATCGATGGAGCCGGATCGAAGCCAGCAAGTTCCTCAGGAAAGGAGAGAGAGAGGGACAGGTGAGTGATGAAAGAATTGTCTTCAGATCTCTTCTGATTCTGACGGAAAGCTTATTTCAGAGATGATCTGTGTTTCCTGTTGTCTTCTGTGACTTTGGGGTTTGGGGGTTGTTTGTTTTGTTATGGGTGGTTTTTTTGTGGGTTTGTTTTTTCTTTTAAGGAGAAGGGATACAAGGGTTACCTTTTTGTGCTACATAATGGGAATAGTTCGATCTCCAGTCCTCCCTAAGTCTGTATGCTCTTATTTTGTCTGGGTCTGGTGTTTTGCCAGCTTTTTGAGATAACAGGATATTCTTGTGAAATAGGGTAGCAGAATCACAGAATGTCAGGGGTTGGAAGAGACCTCAAAAGATCACCTAGTCCAACCCCCCTGCCAGGGCAGGACCACCTACAGCAGGTCACACAGGAACGCGTCCAGGTGGGTTTTGAATGTCTCCAGGGTTGGAGACTCCACAACCTCTCTGGGCAGTCCGTTCAGTGCTCTGTCACCCTCACTAAAGAAGTTCCTCCTCATGTTTAGATGGAACCTCCTGTGTTCAAGTTCGTGCCCGTTACCTCTTGTCCTGTCACTGGGCACCACTGAAAAAAGACTGGCCCCATCCTCCTGACACCCACCCTTTAAGTATTTATAAGCATTGATAAGATCCCCCCTCTGTCTTCTCCAGGCTAAAAAGCCCTCAGTCCCTCAGCCTCTCTTAGCAAGAGAGATGCTCCAGCCCCCTCATCCTCTTCGTAGCCTTCCACTGGACTCTCTCCAGTAGCTCCCTGTCCTTGAACTGGGGGGCCCCGAACTGGACACAGCACTCCAGGGGTGGCCTCACCAGGGCAGAGCAGAGCGGGAGGAGAACCTCCCTCCACCTGCTGGCCACACTCTTCTTCATGCCCCCC